GCAGCATTTTCACTCGTTCACTCGCGCGATTATTTTGAATAGACAATAATTTGTCTGATAAAACTTTTTTTTATAATTCAAAAACCTCATGAAATTGCACAAAATAGCATTTTTGCGTTGTTTTTAAAAATTAAAAATTCATCCATAGAAAATGTAGAGAAAATAATTGCGGTTTTTTTGAGCTATAGAACTCCTAGAAATGTCAAAAACTGAACGAGGAGATAGATTTTTTTCTGTAAAAAACTTTCAAAATGACCATTTTTGACATTTTTTTCTTTCGAAAACGACCATACATGAATCTATAAACACTAATTAACTTTTTAAAGAATCATTTGAATCATCTTGGAACTCCACAAAATCAGATAAAAAATTCTGAAATTATGGTTTTAGACCTGCAATTGTGATCGCGCCAAGCTTTTTTTCTGTAGGTCAAAAAAATTTGCAGTTCGGAATTGTTCTGTGGGTGACATGTTAAAAATACCATGTATAGGGGTACATGGATTTGACTTTAAAAATATTATTTGTTCAAAAATCTCTCTTAAATGAACGATGAGCTACATATTTGAGACTACAGTTGTGCATTATGACATAAAAGTAATCGGATAGACATGGTCTCCCAAAGTTGTGTTTTCGAAAATCGACATGTTTTGATTTCATACGATCGGACCATTCGGACATTTCCTATCATAGTAAAATTCTTGGTAGTAAAATTCAGAGATAGAATAAAGGTGTAATTAGGTTTTTTGTAGCCTGTAATCCGTGCTACAAAATACAGTTTAGTATATTGTTTTATCTTCAATCTGTACAAAGTTATGATTTTTTGAATGGACTTGACCCACTTTTTCGGAAAAACCACAAAAAGTTTTGCCATTCTGCTCAACCTGCCTTTGGGCACCCTATATTATCCGTTTTGTGCTAGTCCAGCGACGGGACATTTTTTGCCACCAACATCTGAGAAAAAGCGAAATTTCACTTCGGGTACTTCCCCTGTAAGATTAGTAATAAGCGAGAATGAACAAAGCTGCTAGTCATGTTATGTGAGAAAATTTTTGAGATCGCGAATTATTTCCAGGAAAACAAAAAGATGAAAAAAAACAAATTTCGACTGAAACTGTTGCTGCTCTACTGATTGAACAATGCTATTAACCAGAACTTATTTCTAAAAACTCATAAAAAGTCATTAATTTTCCAAAAATTAAAATATTTTTTAATTCAAAATAACTATCATAAAGATGACAAGTTTTAATATTGATGTTGATATACTTAGATTTTTGATGTGCAGGGTGGCGCATAATTACCCGCACAAAAGTTTGTACAACTATAAAATTTGAATAAAGCCTTGTACTGGGCTCAAATTCCGAGTGCGGAATTTGTAGCCCTGTGAACGAACTTTTATTGAAATTCGGTTCACAATGCAAAATTTAACCAGAATTCTAAGCCGGATGTAGGGTGACTAGAGTGATATCTGTGGACAGCGGCATCCCACCAACGTGCAAGAAACATTTCGCCGCTCATCATCGGGCAATCATAAAAATAACGAAACTTGGGATTGAATGGGATTGATGGGATTGAAGAGTAAGGCAGTTTTCGAAGTGAGAACGGCAACAATCTCGACGTGGAAGCAGAAGTTTGGATGGGAGAAAGTGGAGAAGGCGGTGGTTCTGGTCGAATGGACGAAGGACGATAAGCAGTTGAAGGCGTTGGTGAACTTGGTGGAGGAGATAGCCAAGGAAGTTGGGGAATTGGTGGTGGTACCGGAAAGAATGGAGTGCGGATACGACGAGGTTGGAGGAGTCACCGAAACATGGCAGAAAGTAAGGAAGACGGCGCCGAATGTGGAAGTCGTGGATCCAATGACTCCAGTAGGACCCAAGAAGATGCCGTTGATCCTCTGTGACTTGAAACCAGGATCGCTGGAGAAGATGATGGAATACTTGGCGTGCGCCATCCCAGGCCACTCGTTGGTGGATCGACTGAGAGCAGACGTTGAAGACTCAGAGCCAAAGATCAAGAAGCACCGTGCAAATTGAGGACAAGGCGAAGGAGCCGAATATATTAAATTTTTATTGTTGTTCTGTTTTGTAGTAACTAGTGAGGTCAATAGGACAGTTAGAATTTTTATGAGGTCAATAGGACGTTTCAATTTTTGTAATCTGAGGCCGTTAAGACATGTTAGGAAATCTCTTGTGTTATCGTTTGAGTAGGAAGGCGTAGGGTCACGTGACGGTAATTTCAAAAGGAGTATGAGTTGAGTATAAGTCGAGTGGTCCTGTACCTTTCATGCCAC